GAACCCATTCTATTTCTAAAAGAGGTTGTTGGTGGCAGAGGGAAAGACCCCAAAGGAATCCCCCAAAACGTTAATGAGCTGTTTTGAGTTGGGGGTGGAGACCAGTATGAGATACATATTACATATAATCATTGTAACGTTAATTGTTGTCAAATTTATTATACCCCCGGGCTATGAGTTATAACATTTTTGAGGCTTTTTTGGGCGAAATAATTTAAAAAATGACACGAAATTTGTTTTAAATCATCACATGCGCCATTTTTTCATTGTCATAACATCTTAACTGACTTGCAAACACTCAGTCATAGAAGACTACGATATAGTTGTAGGCATAGAACTCCAACACAACGTTTCTACAATTTACATAAATGTCATCATGTATGTTTTATGTATGAAAATACTAAATACTTTGATTTCAGATTATTTGTCATGGATATATTTGGCTACAGTTAAGAATCATTTTCATCTGTTTTAGTTCATAGGTTGTCGACTAAGAAGACCTTGCGGTAAAGAAAGAGAATTTTTTTTTAAATTTTCCATTGTGGTGAAGAACGTAATTTTTGCACATTTTAGCAGTAGAATTGTTTTCTAAAAATCATTGATTAGTTGCTATTTGAACCTTATAAGATATATATACTTTTCTTTTTCAGGACTGTGTTGGGTTTTATGATACCTCACTTACTCAAATTGACAAAAAGCCATCTTTAATACTTGCCTTTGATTTCAATTGATTATTGAAGCCAAATAGTTCAAGTGTTTGTCTTCGTATTTACTTGTAGAAGCAGGAATATTAAAACATCTATTTAAAAGACTCCTTTAGGACAAAGCTAAGTGATAAAACGTTTCCTGAAAGCTGAAAGACAATCGATTGATATGTCAAGGATGGGAAGGCCTCAAAGGTTCAGAATTATTGCAGCGGATTTAAATTGAAGAAATGAAAGGGGAAGTGGGTTAGTGAAGGTGGGGTCGGATGTTAGTTAGGGAGAGTCCGTGTGTCGGATCAGCGAGAGACCCGATTCAAAAGACATAAGAACAATGTTAATTGGTAAAACATTACATGAAAGCTGGAAGATGTCATTTTAAACATCGATTTATTTGTCAGGGGGATAACCACCCACCCCAAATTTCCAAATTAAATGCCTAGTTTCGTGAACCCCTCTTGACAATTCTGTAGTCCGTAATCGGTCCCTCCGCCTAATGATCCCTAGACACGCCACTTTGCTTCAGATTTCATTCAGCGTTTAAAATTATAAACCTGTAAGGAAGACAGACGATTAGTTACGAAACTTGTACATTGTAAGTAGTAGGAGGGAGGGAGTGAGTTAAACGGTGCATGGAAGGTATTGGCCATAACAATTTCTTGGTATGCTGGAAGATGTCTTCAAAAATTACTTTATTAATCGTTAAGTCCGGCCAAGTACATGTCTTCAAACGCTCTCAAAGAAACGGAGGATTTGAGAGGGCTTGAGAAGGGTCGAACAATTCTCGCTATTCAAAAGATATACCTGGTTAAGCATTTTCTAGCTTGTAATCTCAACATTGGGGCAGTATGGACAGCTAAGTAGCTCAATATTCTTTGTAATCGTTGATTACATTTATGTGGATTACCAAGGGTAAATAGATGAACTAGTAATTAAATGTCAAGGGCTGATTTAACAAGACATGCCACAGTGATTTGATTTTTGAGGGTTTAAATATTATTTTTTGCTTAATCAAAAATTTATCTTATGTTTCAATAATCAAATGAATGTTTTTACCTCGGGGTTTGGGGGTACACGTGAACACACTCTGTGAAACGTATCAACAGTGGTTCAGGAAGAACCAAATCGCACAAAAATTAAAACAGAACGGACACAAGTTGAATTGACGAGATAAATTTTCATCTCAAGGGAAATAACTTGAAATAAAATCTCGAAACATCTCGAAAGTAGGTCAAAATTTACTGTATCTAAACATTGTTTGTTTATCTTGTTGCTTTACGGATTATTACAAATCTTAGTTTTTGTGCACTATGTGAAATCATTTCATTTTATTTGTTTAAAGATTTCAATGTTTGTATTAAATATTTCATCATTAACCGGAGGCAATATAATAAGTTGTCTAATAATCAAACAACTGAACGTAGGTCTGGAGGTTACACTGGATTCTAACAAGAAATATTCAATGTTTTTCTATGAAAACCCATTGTTTTGTATTTTTTAATTTGTGTTAATAACCTTATTAGGTAGAAGTTTACATTAATTTGTGAAATTGTCTATTGTTGTATCTACTAATGAACTAACTGTAGCATAACTAGAGGCAAACAAGATCATATAATATTTACTCCCGTTTTGTGTTTAGGATACCGTACAATTTGTTTACAAGCTACCGTACAATTTGTAAAAGGATCGTCATATAATTTGAGTACCGGTTAACGTACAAATTGAAACTTATCCAGTGTTTAACGAGTCAAGATAATATTTAATAACGCATTCCTTTACCATATTATTATAGTATCATTGTAATAATCTACAATAATGAAACCTTGTCTGTATCAATATCAGAATAAACAAATTATAACCGATACAGTGTCCTACGAGACAAGATAATGAAGCATCCCTTTATCTTATTGTTTTGTAATAATCTACAACTAATTATATCATAGCCTGTATCACTTTCAGAATAAACACCAGTATGTTCAAATTCAATTCATAATCTTTTCAGTTTTCAGAATTCAAATGTTGCAAATGGGGACTTAATGGGGCCTTGATCAAGGCCTCACGCGAAAGACCAGACGCCTTTTCCATGCCAACCCCTCTCCATGTCGTGGAAACGAGACGGTCGTAACTGTAATCGTGTTAATACACCAGGTATTACTAATGTGAAATGGTTCATCCTCCGTTAAAATATTATCTTAACGTTTTGCCCTTTTGAAAGATAGTTTTTATTAAGATCACCAGGGGGATGTAAAACTCTCCGCCATTTTTCTTTCTTCCTTTGTGATTAATATCGTAAAAACTAGAGACAATTATATAAGACATGAACATATATAATAAATTTATAAAAAGCAATCTGTTTGTCTTGAATCGAACAGACGGCGTCAGCTGGAACATAATATTTCTTACTTCTCATCTATCAACCTTGCATTTGAGAACGCAGATGAACGTAGAGTCAGACGTAAGTTTAGGTAATATTCAGATCTGGAATATGATTAATCCCTGTATTCAGATTTAGTATAAAACTCCATTTATTTCATTTTTAATTTAGTAGTAATTGTGCTTTTGATGTTCTTGAAGCTTTAAGCTTGTATTAAATATACTAAATAAACAAGGGTAGCAATATGGGCCCTCCAAAAGAGATGTCGAGTTGACACATCCAATTGCAGTGTGATTCGGCGGAAGCATACCCTGCCTTGCCAACAACACCAATCATAGTTGGGTTCTTATTTCAAATGCTAAGTGACGCTTAGGCGTATCTATGATCCAAAATGGAGAACATGTGTCAGTTCGACTTGGTGCAGTGAAAACTAATATGGTAACGACTCAATAGTGAATAGGGGTTTCTGATTTGGGATTGTGGACTGATCATGGTTTAGCGCGAATCGTCTAAAACGTTTGGGAATCATCCTGATTGCTATAAACTGTCTCAAGATCTGTTGCGAACTTACTGGACCACTCGATCAATTACTTTTTCGACCACGTATTCTATCATGACACAAACCATGTTTTAGGTGCCCTCACATCATAGCGATTACCTGTTGTGTATGTTCGCGAATAATGAAAGTACAGCATGTCTTACATTCTATCGCAATTATCGCAACTATACTAAAATAAACATTGACAATATCGTGTTACTGAGTTCCCCCATGATGAAGGAAAACAATTATTTCAGATCTCTACTCCTGCAATCCCAGTCCGTCAGATTGAATTAGACCTCAATAATTGATGGTTGTATGACCTACTCTAGCATACACCACCATCTTGGGTACTTAATACAAATGTATGATTTGTCTTTGCGTGATCCACCTGGAAATACACTTTCAAGTGGCTTCCAAATTGTCATATTGTGATATTTGGTTTAAGAGAAACCTAATTGGACTCTAAGTAAGTCATTATTTAGCACATAAATCTCTCAATAATAGTTGGTGGCAGCAATCGCAGACTGATTCAACGTGTTTGGTTTCTAGATGTGAATTTTGTTTGGATGATATTATAAGTGTTCTTTTGGACAGGAAAGAGTTAACACTGTTAAAACATTATATTGGGTTAGAGGAATATTTGGTAATAATGCCAGTCGAGGCTATAAATCGCAGACTGACATTATGAGTTTTAGCCAAATGGGGAGGGGGGGGGGGGGGGGAGGCGTGCCCCACCCCCTGTAGCCATCCCTGTCAAATACTATAAAGACACTTACTTCATAAACATAACGACTCCAACCTTGGAGATGTCCTGTTGTACTATATTCCAACTTTCTAAAACAAGTTCCTTCTGTCGTTCACTAAACTCTGGTTGAGGATTAGTTTTATGGTCGTCACCATCATTTTCATCATTCTGGACGGTAGGAAGATACTTCCTGGTACTTATTCGCCTCTTACTGCTCTGTGACTTGATAAACTGTCCTTTTATCTTCTTGGAATTGAGGCAACCCATTGTTATGCTTCGAGCACTTCCGTAGAATTAAAGTTCCTTAATGAACATCTATTATTAAGTTGTTGAACTAAGTGAGAGTTTTCGGTTGATTTAGCACGAATCAATGTACATTTATCTCTAGGTGATATTTTCGTTTGTTTGCATTTACATCACTGACGAATGTGTGCTTTCCCGAAACGTATATGACAAGTCCTTTGTAAGGCTGTTCAGGCTAACACAACGTTATTTTAAAGAAAATCTTTATCAAAACTAAAGTATATCTTTCTTTGTCTTGATAAGCACCGCTGATAAAATGTTTAGACTCAAAACCACTTAGAATTATTGGTCAAGTTGTTCGGTCGAGCTTCCCAACACCACACTGACGAATAATTTTTTTCTTCAACAGTTTTTGCATTGCTCCTTTGATCAACTAGTTACTCTTGTTGAACGATCACCACTGACAACAATGAAGTGTTCCTAAAAATATCCACTTTTAATTCAAAATTGAAATAACCATCATCACAGACGAAAGTCTTTTTTCCGAAACGTAAAATGTAAGAAAGTTTTCCAATTAAACATACTCATCTAATCAATTATTACGACAAAAAACAAGGTCTGTTCGTGAAGCCTCATCCAGTCCGAATGTACTCCCTGAGGCATTACCATTAGTACAGAAAGTCAAATCAGACTAAGTTGCCCTTTCAAATACAGTCATCAAATGACCACCAGTACTAACGAAAGTTCTTGTCTCCGAAACACAAAAGAAATAAACTTGAAGTTGTCAATTTAATATTGCATGTGTTAAGTAGCCATCACCTCTGCCGAACGCTGAAATCTTAGAAATGTTTGTTCACACGACGTTGACAGTACTTATGTTTATAACAAGGTGCTTAAGGTAATTGAAATAATTTCATTGTTCAGTCGACTGAAAATGATTATTGATAAAATCCCAGGAATACGTCTGTCCTTCAAGTCATAGCACTGATTGTATAGAAGCGTTTGACGACTGTTAACTGGCCACCAATAGTAGGAAGTTAACAAGTCGTTAATACAAGACTCGCTTGATTACTGGCTTTCATAAAACTTTCCGAGTCCACTTATAAACCTTTCCTACAACCTGTCGATGACATTTTCAATGGTGTAAGAGTTCACGAAGCTAATTAGTAATGGCATGACTGGTTATATAAAACGTTATAGGATTTTGATGACTTCGTCTTCCTATATGACAATCAAAGCATCTATAAGCCATAATTTGTATTCTGTACAATAGATTCTGAACAATCAATAAGTGTACCAATTGTCTGAGTATAATAACCGCTGTGAATACCGTGAATTGTATATGTTTTTACCTCTTAATAATCTACTCATTGAAGTGGCGGCGACAACCTTTGAGACAGAGAGAGACCCAAAGTGGGGACAACTGTCAAGGTGGAGATTCAAAATGCTGCATCTCTAGGCAAGCCTCCTGTGGGTCGTTTAAGAGGGTTCACCTCCAAGAAAATTTTGGAAAATATAATTCATTTAATGTAATCTGATACATATTTTTTAATTTGTTAGAAAATTAATTAGGGGTACAATTTGGGATACAAACGAAATGCCCCAAGCACCACCCTCTTAAAACACCTACTGGCGCCGCCACTGATTCATTGTCCAACATATTTAATTTTGTTTATAGAAAATCGATCAGAAGTTCACGCTGGCAGAGACGGACAAATTAAACTCGTAAAAAGACAAATAAAGCTTCAAGGATAATGAATGTACAAAAAAAGAAATAAAAATGGAATGTGTCGGACATTCCTGATTACCAAACTTGACACAAGACAATGGTTTGTCTACAGAGTCTGACAGAAACCTTTACATAGAGATATTGGGCTTGAATTGATAGTCTCATATATCAATGTACCATGACGTCATCGTCTGCTTTTAGAAACACCAGACGTCACCTATCTGAGGGTTATATTCGAGAGGGTGGTCCATTGTTATACTACTGTCTGTTTATAGAAACACCAAACATCGCCTAATTCTAGATTATATTCTAGAGAGTGGTCCACTGTTGTACTATTGTCTGTTTATAGAAACACAAGACATCATGTTACTCTCGGTTATATTCTAGAAGGGTGGTCCACTGTTGTACTATTGTCTGTTTATAGAAACACCAGACATCACCTTACTCTCGGTTATATTCTACAGAATGGTCCACTGTTGTACTATTGTCTGTTTATAGAAACACCAAACATCGCCTAATTCTAGGTTATATTCTACAGAGTGGTCCACTGTTGTACTATTGTCTGTTTATAGAAACACCAAACATCGCCTAATTCTAGGTTATATTCTACAGAATGGTCCACTGTTGTACTATTGTCTGTTTATAGAAACACTCGACATTACCTATCTTTGGGTTATATTCTAGAGAGTGACCCACTGTTGTATTACTGTCTGTTTATAGAAACACCAAACATCGCCTACTTCTAGGTTATATTCTACAGACTGATCCACTGTTGTACTATTGTCTGTTTATAGAAACACAAGATATCATGTTGCTCTCGGTTATATTCTTCTGGTCCACTGTTGTACTATTGTCTGTTTATAGACACACCAGACATCACCAGACTCTGGGTTATATCTACAGAGTGGTCAACTGTTGTACTATTGTCTGATTATAGAAACACAAGACATCATGTTACTCTCGGTTATATTCTAGAGAGTGGTCCACTGTTGTACTATTGTCTGTTTATAGAAGTAGGATCTCGGTGTTTATATAAACACTAATCACTTAACTATAGACTGTCAATACCAATAATACTCAAAACCATTACTTATCTTTTCTCGTCATTAGGTTCCTGTACAGACAAAGAAACAAATCAAAGCTCTTTCAACTTTTCTAATAGAAATTAACTGATTGAGGTCCATGCTAATGTAAATGACAATTGTTGTTTCTTGTCAAATTACAATACACAACATCCATTGGTGACCCTATGTGTTACTACCAGACAACTGCAATTCCCAGTTACCATTCAATGACACCAACTTCATTCGCAGCCAGAAAACTTTAATGTGATGAGTACCTGCTTGTGGATATTTCTATGACTGCCCACCTGCATTGTTTGTACTACAAATGGTGCTGGATGTTTTCTGCTTAATATAAACTTTGAGTCGTAATTAAAACATTCAAACGCAGATAATTCTGGACACACATGGACACTATTACAGATTAGCTCAGCTACAAAATTCCAGTCTCTGAGACTAAAGTATGATTGGTCAAAAAATGGCCTACCTGTCCCTTCGATATAAACTTTTAGGTTATTACTGGAGCAGCTTAGATTGTCGAGAGTCGGACAACCACAGCACTCATTGTCGTTATCTTACTTATAATATGACCTACTTTTTAAAAGTGAGTAATTCAACAGATGGCATACATATAAAGACTAAATCTTTTTGACAGACCGTGAAAGTACCAATCTCATTCAAACAATTCTATCGAAGAATTATTGTAATCAGTAATCAGATTGGGAAACTGAAGCAATTAATAATGTCTATAGGTCGAATTTTATCATTCGTGAAAATCAAAAACGATTAAACCTCTCAAAGTAGGTCACTAATGAACTGGTGAACTGATAAGGAGTTTTGCGGCTTAACTTTCTACACCTTCTAATAAAAACGGGTAAAGTTGTGTCACTGTCTAATTAAAATCTGACCCAACTTTCGTTTCGTTAAAAAGGTTAAAGGTTAATTTGACGAATGTTCCAGACTCTGGTCTTTAGATACTACTGTGAAGTTACTAGAAAATAAAAACTAATAAAAAAAAAAACCGAAACGGAAGTTGGGTCTAATTTTGATTAAACTGGGTTGTGTCATTGCAAATTGCAAAATTGGCGTCGGTGGTATTAGCCAAAATGTGCGCGGACATTTTGTTTGTACAGCACCGGTTTTTTGCCCAATCAGGACATCCCCAAAGGATGTGACATACTAGAGTCAATCAACACGCTTGTACGTAGCCATGTGTGCGTTTTGCACATACTACCAAGTAAAGACACATAAATATTAGTACAGAAAACCCCTCTGATATGACTTAAGTCGCCTTTGTTCGTTAAAATTCGCAGTCCCATTCGCAGGTTTGGGTGTGATGCTAGTCTCTATCCTCCAGTCCCACTTTTAACGGAAGATAGCATGGAACTTTTGCCAAGTCTTCATTGACTATTGAATCTGATTGGTTGTTAATCCGCCCCGTTGGTGCGGGGTAGCATTAATGGAAAGAAGATCTTCCGTGTGTATCATAATTCTGTAATTTTCACCATGGCTTCAGATATTAATTTCAATCTCTAAGAAGCGATAATTTTTTCATGATTAGATGGAACTTTTAAATATTAATAGAAAGAGTTTTTGGGGTTGTCATTTTGTTTTTGCTATAAAGAAATCGTTTGAGACTTGTAGATCGAATATGCTTAATAGTAGTTACCTCCCTTGATAGAAATTGAATTCGTTATAACACAAAATGCAACTGTAAGTCCCAGAATTATATCATCGTCGCCGATAGGAGAAGTCTGGGTGTCAGAGACAAATATGATTTATTTGATTATTGATGAGAGTTCCTGGTTTTAACGACTATACCACTGTAACTCTGATGACCAAGAGTATTCTATTGAGTAAGAAACGTGTAATATTTTACAGTGAATAGATAAGACTACACCTGATAGACATCATTGTCTACCAGACACTTCATTCATGAATAAAATTATTATTTTAATCAAGTAACTAGCTCTCGTATTTCTAACTTAATTTCACTAGAAATGTATACCTTATTACTAGCTTTAAAGGAACAGATGCGCCATTTGTTCTGACCGATCGTACCTTAG